CGCCTGAGCCTCAGACATGCCCTGGAGCCCTTTAAAGCTGGGTTGAGTCGAAACTCCTTAAAACTTGCAGTTGAGCCCCTGAAAGGTGAGCCCGCAACCGAAAGCTTGCCGCCAGTTGAGCCCGAAACCCTTAAAGTCTCTACAGGGTAGTCGGCTTGAGTCGTCTCACCTTGTGTAAAGTCGTCTCGCGCGGGCGTGCACATGGGGATAGCGCATACAAGCTCGTAAGAACACTTAGCTGGAAGTCATCTCACCCGGCAAGCACATGGGGATTCCGAAGTAAAGCGTGCGAGCCAGTTGTGTGGCGACATTGAAAACCCAACTACAACGCCAAGCCCTACTCCAGATATGCATGGATGCGTTTCTCAAAAGTCGTCTCGCACCGGCGTGTACATGGGGATTCCACATACAAGCTCATACGAACATTTAGCTGGAAGTCATCTCACCCGGCAAGCACATGGGGATTCCGACGTACACTTGCGGGTTTCGTTTGTTTCAATGCACGTTTGCTTCACTTTGTGCGAAGAGTCTCGTGCCACGCGCAGATTTGACGTGTCGGGCTGTGCTCGTTCAAAACCAGCGTGTAGTTGCGGATCCCAGTCTGTGAGTCGACTTTTTGCGGATGGGTCGACTTCGTGCGAATCTGGGCGTGAGCTTGGGGAGAGCCGACTTCGCACAACCTGGGTCGACTTAAGCCCAACGCCTTTAAAGCTTGCGGCAAAGACAGAAACCTGCCGCCAATTTGCCGAAACTAAAACTTGCAGTGAGCCCGCCAACAGCTTGCAGGCAGCCCGAAACGTAAAGCTTGCCGCCAGTTGAGGCCCTAAAGCGTGCGGCTGAGCCCGAAACCTAAAAGCTTCTCGCTAGTTTAGGTCGACACCTTCTAAGCATGCGGGTGAGCACGAAACCCTAAAGCTTGCCTCCAGTTGAGCCCCAAACCTAAAAGCACGCGGTTGAGCCCGAAACCCTTGAAAGCACCTGCCGAGGCTGTGGCCTTCTGAATGCTTGCTTGAGATTCTCACCCAGAAGTTGCAGAGCAACTTGTTTCTGCCTCCTTCATCATGCTCCGATTGTCGGGAAGACTGGCCACCAGTTGAATATTCTTTGCAGAAAGGCGAGAAGTCTGGTTGAGGCTTTCGTGTCTTGCAGTTGAGCCCGAAACCTTAAAGCTTGGGTCGAGCTTGTATGGGAAACCGAATTAAATAGCGTGAGCCTGTGGGGAGAAGGAGATCGAACAACCTCCCCGCCAGGCCGCACTATGGCCCAAAAGATTTTGCATGGACTTTGCGCGCACTTTCGGGCCTTCTAAAAGCCAGCCCTGGGGCTGCAGGGCCGCGTTCTGGANNTGGAGCGGGTTCCGGCCGGAGCGGGGAAGAAGAACTTGCGCTATCAACGAAACAGACAGAGACTACGCTGTAACAGAACGCAGTTTGAAAAGCCAGATATAAGAGAAAGGGCGTCCTTCTCCTTTGTGTCCCTGCCAAAGGTCTCGAACAGGGACTCGGCATACCTATTGCTGCTGTACATGATGATGCCCTCCGGGACCCTCACGTACTTTCTCTTAAGAAACTCGAGCTCGTTGCCAACCTCCCGCATAGGCGCGCTCACCTGCACGTTCACCACCTTCCTCATCTCGGTCACCAGCTTCTCGCGACTTTTCTTTGTTCCTGCTAGCAATCCGTCGTCTGCGTGTAGAAGAAGGGCTGTTGGGTCCTGAGGGTCCTCGTGGCGGAACACCGTCGGCTCCTTGTCGAAATTGACAAGCCCGTTGTCGTTGAGGATTTTCTTGGCGAAGCCGTACCACGCGCTAGCCCCCACCCTTTGTCCGGAAAGCAGGCGCTCCAAAACGTAGGTGACGACACCGGTGGGAGGAGTTCAAGAGGGCCGCCTCCACTTCGATCACCACCGGTTCCGGTTGTGGAACATTCAGGTAAGCGTCCTTCACGTCGATCGTCACCAGTTCCAGCCCAAAGGTTAGCGCCAACGTCATAAAGGAGTGGGCGGCTGCCAAATTCGAAGCAGGCGCGAAGAGGTCTTGCGTCCAAGGCGTCCACGCTTTGAATTCTCGGGCCACCAAGCGGCTGCCTCGTCTCCACCCTGGCCGCTTCCTCCAATCACGCACGATCTTCGTGGTCAGCTTCCCACAGCTGCGGATGTCCTCGCCTTGAAGGGGGTGGCCTCATCACCCCCATCGCCACCAATCTTTCGATCTCAGTCTTGTCGCTGGCTGCGTTGACCAAGTCCAGCTCGTCCTCGCTGAGCTCTGGCGCGTGCTCTCCGTGCTCGTCCCAGGAAGGGCCTTCCCCATCGTCAAGCAAACCACCCTCTGCAACGACTCTCCCACCTCCTCCATCCAACTTTCAAAGCTACTGAGCTCCTCCCTGGGATGTCCCCGTGCACCTCTCGAACGCCTACATATCCAGATGGATAGAACCTGACCCAGACGCTGCGTCACCGCCTGCCGCATACCCCAGAGAAGGTCTTGCTGAATCTGCTCCGGATTGTGGTAGAGAAGGTCTTGCTGAATCTGCTTCGGATTGTGGTCGAGCAGGTCTGCTGAATCTGCTTCGGATTGTGGTCGAGAAGGTCTTGCTGAATCTGCTTCGGATTGTAGTGGAGAAGGTCTGTCTAGTAGAAGTCGTGCTCGCTTGGGTTCTGGCAAGGTAGGCTGTTCAAGCTCTCTTGGCGGGTTCGCGCTTTGCTCTGCGCGGTCCCCTTCCTGGCTTCCACCATCCAGGCGAAGGAGAACTCGTAGAGCTTGAGGTCGGGCTGTCTGACCCAGCTTCGTCGTTGTTGTTGTTTGGCTTTGGGGTGCTTGCTGCTATGGCTTCTGCTGCTGCCGTGCCCGCGGCCTTGGCAAGCTCCTCCAAGGTGGCGTTGTCCGGAAGCAAAGGAAGCCGGGCCGACGTGTAGAGGGGCCGCTTCCGCTTCTTTGTGCCACCGTAGTCCCAGGGTAGGCCGCGGTACGTCACAAGCGCCTTGGCATCCCACTGTTGTTCTTCAGGAAGTCGGCGAACGCTTCGGGCCTCTCGTGCCCCATCTGGTGTGAGCACTATGTTGGCCCCGTTCTTTTCATTGAGGCCCACAAAGAGCCCCCTTTGCCATTGCAGGTCCCCCTTGTATTTGCTAGGGGCGTGGTATATGCAAAGCTCTCCAAACGGCAAGAGGTTTGCCTTGAAGCGCCGGCCAAACATAGCCTCATACGCGGGAATGCCGCGGTGTCCGGTGAAGAAGCGGTTGTGCAAGTAGGCGGCGTGTCGAAGAAGCCACCCGAATATGTGGTGGTCCCCTTCTAGCACCACTTTCGCCCGGTCCTCGGCAAAGGTTTTGAGGGTCAGCGCGCTCCTCCTCAAAGTGTCGATCGCTTTCTCCACCTGTCCATTCGAGCTATGGCTGCCCTTTTGGGTGATCTTCGCCTTCGTCTTCAGGCCGAGCTTCGTCCTGCACGCCACCACGCTGTTCAGGATTTGCTTCACCGAGGGCTCTGGGTCACCCTGGAAGGCAACCTCCCCTGCGGCACTGACCTGGAGGCTCAGACGCACCAGGTTCTCGGTGACACGCTTCAGCGCAGACGCGCCCTTCTGCAGCACAGGAACTGCAGCCAGCCACCCTGTGGTGGATTCGGCAGCCACCAGGGTCAGACCAAACTGGTCACGGTAGTCCTCGGGGTTCGGCGCTTCCTCCTCGAAGGCCTTCTCGTCCGTGTCCGTGCCGGCGTCGGTTCCTTCCATCTGCTCTTGTACTTCATGGCGTCGCTTGGTAAAGGTGTAGCAGTAGTCCACCTGGATCACCGGCACATTCTCCTCCTCCTCCTCCTTGGCCTCAACCCCAGGCTCGGGCGCCCTTCTGTGAGGAGACGCCTTGGACCTCCCCAAAAGACAAGCCTGGCACCAAGGAGCAAAGGGTTGGTGGGTCACGTTGTGGAGCTCTTGCTGGCGGGCGCTCGGTAGCACTGGCGTGGGGGGAACGTCCGGGGGACGGTCCCTCTCGAGGAACATTCGCTGCGCCACTTGCGTAGAAAGGTGTCCCTCCAGCAGCTCCCGCTATTTCGAAGTCGCCTCAGCACCTTCAGCTCGGCTCACCCCGAGCTTGTCACAAAGGGCCCTGAGCTCCTTCAAAGGGGTCTCGTCATCCAGCCGAACACCATCAAGGATCTCGCCGTCGGGGTCCTGGTCCTCGGGCTGCTTGCTCTCAGCCACCACAACCTCAAACGGGTCTTCACCGACCCCGCCTGCGCTGCCATCGTCCGGCACCGGGAGAATGGGAGCAGTGGCTATGCTCCATGTTA